CAGAGAGGTGAAGTGCCCTTCTGGTCATGTCATATCGGGGTGCATCTCCATATTTTAGAACAACCGCTCTAGTCAGTAGCGGCTGTGGTGGAAGAGAGCTAGCAGGATCCACCCAGCTTCAGAACGGATTAAAGAAGATGAACATTGGAAATCAGGAGGATGACATGAGACCACCGGGGAGCTCCATCTCTTCCAAATAAGCCACTTGAATTGAAAGTCAAGAAACACATGTTCTTTTTTTTAAAATATATTTTATTGATTTTTTACAGAGAGGAAGGGAGAGGGATAGAGAGTTAGAAACATCGATGAGAGAGAAACATCGATCAGCTGCCTCCTGCACACTCCCTACTGGGGATGTGCTTGCAACCAAGGTACATGCCCTTTCCCGGAATCGAACCTAGGACCCTTCAGTCCGCAGGCCAATGCTCTATCCACTGAGCCAAACCAGTCAGGGCAAGAAACACATGCTCTATTCCAGGATCATCCACTAGCTGCAGTCTCCTGGCGTTAGTTTCTTCACCTGGATAATGTTGAAGTTACCTGAGGCTGTTTCTGGTTTCGAATGTATATGATTCCCAAACTCGGGAGTGAGCTTCCATTAGTCAAATATCGTCCACACCTCTGTTTCCTCAGAGGATGTGTTGTAATGCTGAGCAAGACTACCCAGATGCCGAGGTTTCTGCAAAGGGAGACAGCAGGGAGGCCACTCTGTGTCACTAGGCGACCTGTGTGACACTTGTATCCTTCGGATGTCCAGGATCTGGCCGGAAGAAAACAAATGGCAAAAACTAAGAAGAAAACTCAAGTCATCCCCTCATCTTTGTTCCTGGGACTCCCAGTTATTCCTTCCGTTACAGTGGATTAAGGAGTAAATGACATAACTTGTTTTCAAAATGTCAGGCGTGCACACTGCAGTACTTTTAAAAAGCTTTTAATGCTGACCCTTGGCGTAAATCTTACCCGAAATGAGGGACGACTGCCCTGCAGTGTGGGATGTTTCTTAGTTGCCGATCATTTGTACAGAGCCTGTGATTGCAAAACCACAAAAATTTGGCAATAGTGAAAACCTCTAATTAAGCATAATAAAATGACAGGGCGGATTTGTTTTAAATACATGGTTAATCACGCTTATTGGTTTAAGGTCGTACCCTGAGAAGTCCTCTATTGGGCTTGAGATGGGTGGGCTGCAAATGGTTTTTGCAAAAACACTTCTCTACCTCTGCACGTCACGTCTGACCCAGAACATTTTACTAATATTGGATCGGGCTCTCCGCTGATGTCATCTGCCTGTGGGAATTGTATTGGCTGTGAAATTAGCTCCTCTTCATAGCTGTTGACAAAAAAAATGTTTAAAAAAATCACAATTCTGTGATGCATTTTGAATGACGGAAGCCAGGTTCCTAGGCACTGAGACAAGAAAGAATGTCAACCGGAGCCTTTAATGTGTGTTTATATTTAAACATCAGACCTAACAGAAAACCCTTAAGCTTTATACAATGATTAGAGCCTTGTAAGAACCTAATTAACGTATCATCGGGTGAATGGTTGGCCTGGCACGCGAGCTGCTCCGAGGGACGAGAGGGGGCTCAGGTACCTGCTAGGAAGAATAGATGCGGTTGTAGTGATTCCGTGGCCCGTCTGAAAGGGACATGTAAAGGCAGCTTTGTCTGGCCTGCTGCCTTTTCAGACTCACTTGATAATGCTAGTGTCAGTTTCAACTGAGGCGTGTGCCAGATTGCAGATAGCTTGAGCTGGCATTTCAAAGCGGTTAATTGTGAAACTTGAGAAGAAGAAAATGGGCACATTCTTCAGAGGTAGCTTTTCAAATGCAATCTCCACCCCCCTCCTCCACCCCAACCCTCACCTCCCCCCGCCCCCCCCCCACCCCCATGGGTCTCACTTTTGTTCTGCTCCCACATAAAATGCATGAGAAACGCTGAGCCTTTCCCCTTGGCCGCTCTGATCTTGCTGTCTTTGCTGGGACTGTTTTGCCTTGTTAAAATGTGCCCCGTGTATTAAAATGAAATTGTCACTGCTGGGCGGTGCGGCGTAACACGGTTTGACACTAAGCGCCGGCAGCGAGAGAAAACAGACTTTTATTGCATTTATTCTTTCAGAGAGGAGAGTCTCTAAAGCCTCACAGTAGACGTTGACTTAGTTAAATCTGAATGAAGCTGAAGTGAACAATCTAGGCTGCTGTCTTTGTGTTCCTCGAAACAGCCCCCATCCGGCTTGATGTGGCTCTAAAACAGTCTTTAAGAAAAGGCGGTCATATATAGAATCCAAAAAGGAAAACCTGAGCCTTTCTAACCAGGGCAGAAATATTTTAGGTCGGTCAAGTGGGTTGGCCACTTGACGTTCTTCTTTAGCCATCTCTGGATTCCCTAAAACACGTAATACAGAATCAACAAGTGCGCGCACACACACACACACACACACACACACATTTACTGACCCCATTAGGTTTTAGTATTCATTTAGAATCCCATGTCATTTTTAAAAAATATTTTCATTGATTTCAGAGAGGAAGGTAGAAGAGAGAGATAGAAATATCAATGATGAGAGAGAATCACTGATCCACTGCCTCCTGCACGACCCCCACTGGGCATGGAGCCCGCAACCCAGGCATGTGCCCTTGACCAGAATTGAACCTGGGACCCTTCAGTGTGAAGGCCAATGCTCTCTCCACTGAGCCAAACTGGCGAGGGCAGAATCCTATGTCATCTTAAGACAAAGAAAAAGGGGTTGATTTGTAGGACTCTTGCAAGCAAGCTTTAGATTCTTAACTGCCTTTTATTGAGATGGGTGCCCAGAGAGAGCCGGAATAGGGAAGGGGACTCTAGGGCATAAGATTTTTATTCTGTAGCTCTCCTGGAATAAAAATTCCATAAAGCAACATCTGTAGTCATTAAGGGCTTACATTTCCTCGCCCATTCATGTCTCTACTAGGAGGGAAGGTTATTTTCCCTAAGAGACAATAGATAGTGGCTCCTGTGGGAAGAGAGAAAGAACAGAATTAGAATTCTTTTGTTCCTAGAAATGGAACTTTCCTACTTAAAAAAAAAGTTGGAAGACTTACTCTAAAAGATTCACCAGAAAGAAAACTTAGAGAAGTTGAAAATTTGTCTTAGCTACTCCAAAATATTTGGAATGAGCAAGGTTTCACCTTGTGTTTCTAATCCAAATGTCTTCTGATTTGGGGGAAATTGTGAGTAAGCAGTGAACAAAATGCTATCTTTATATTTTTAACTTTTAAAGTTGTATGTTACTAAGATTAAAGAGTTTCTTTTTTGTTTCATTTGGACATAAAATCGGTCCATTCTTGTTGTTTATCAAAATAACACCTATGTTGATCCATTGGACCGTTTGATGAACATAGGTGTTATTTTGATAAACAACATTTCAGTTCCTATAGCTGTAATAAATGTATAACTTCTTTGTCATTTGCTTACATATTTTTTCCTTGTCTTATATATAATATGATCCTGGAAACACACATAAGATTTAGAGGTAGAAAAGTTTTACAACTTGTGTCAAAGGGCTCCATTCCCAGAAAGCTCATATTCATAACAGAGCAGAACGTTTAAATTATACTTTGCCTTTTAGATAAATTTCACACATTTCATTTACATCCTTTCATATGGATGTGTTCTGTTTTTTGGGTTTGTTTTTTTTTTGTCTCTACTGTGCTGTTTGTGGGACTTAATTTCCTTTAATCAGAGTAAACCATTTATTTTTTATCTTTTCCATCCAATTTTATAAAGTAATAAAGCCCAGATATAATTTATTAAAATTGTTGCCAATACTACTCTACTTAGGATATGGTGATTCTGCCAATATTGAAATGATGATGGTATAGCTCAAAATGTTCATTCATTAGCTTCTACATGAGATGACAAAATTTGGCACAAGAAACCCAGTTTAGGAACATTGATATTTATTATAAAAAAAAATCAAGGTTTGTTCAAAATGAAGAAAGTTCAGCACCTGAGGTTTGTGTATTTACATTCTCCTCTCACATTACAGACACCAAGTAATTCTCTTTTGTATCTTTCTAATGGGTTATCAATATCAAAAGTGTCATGAAACTGATGACGGCACTACTCTATTAACCATTATTTGGGCTGGAAGAGGTTGAAATAAAGCACATCTCATCAGTTTGCTTTGTGAAGTCCCTCTGCAGGATAGCTTAGTAGTTACAGGATGGCTTTGATGTCACATGGGTCTCAGTTAAACTTCTTGGCAAGTGTTTCACCTCTCTAAGCCTCAGCACCCTCCCTGATATGAAAAGCCATAATGAAGTTTGCTAATTTTGACATCTAACAGGTATTTATGGAGCACTTCTTAAAAAATATTTTTAATGAGAAGAGATAAACCAAAAAACTTATATACTTATATACATAGCCCATGGACTCGGGCAATAGAGTAATGAAGACCTGGGGGGTGGTTAGGTGCTGGGAGGAGGAGGGGACGGGGAGAAAATGGGAGATATCTATAATACTATCAACAATAAAAAATACATTTATAAAATATGTTTTACTGATTTTAAAGAGAGAGAAAGGGAGAGGGAGAGATTGATAGAAACATTGGTAAGAGAGAAACATCATCAATCAGCTGCCTCCTGCATGCCCCCTGCTGGGGATTGAGCTACAACCCAGGAATCCAATCCATGACCTCCTGGTGCATAGGTCCACGCTCAACCACTGAGCTATACCAGCCAGGCAAGAGCACATTTAATTGCCAAACATTGTTGTATAGATTACATAAGATCATGCCTTAGTATTGCCTCTGGTTGAGGACTCAGCACAGAGACATCCACATAAGCAATACTCTCTCAGAAATGATGTCCTGTAAACCTGGTCATGGTGGTCATGGTAACAGTTGGCAAATTCTGGTGAAACAAATTGAGCTTTTCCATTTTCCTTTTTGTTTTTATTTATTTTCCTGAATATGCACAAGTTTGTGAAAAGTATATGATCCCCCTTTACTTCTTTTTCCAGAATGGAGTCTACTGAAAAATGTGAAGTGGTAATTCAACATTTTAATGGAAAATATCTGAAAACACCACCTGGCATCCCAGGTAAGACCCACATACCATTCAGTAATGATTCAATAGTGTCTGGGCTTCTTGTTAGGATTTGAATGAGTACATGCTAAGGCTTTAGTGGGTCACTGGGATGGAAAAGGATCCATTCATAAATGTATAAGTTTTAATATCATGTAGCAACTCATTTTTGTTAAAACTGCCACACCCTTTTTGGTGATTCTTCAATGGCCTTTCTTTTGAATCTCTGCTGTTCATCCCCTAAAGTGAATTAGAAGAAAAATATAGCAAAAAGTAGTTAAAGATGCACTCAAAGTGAAGGAAGTTTATGACTCCTGTCATTCATATGGGTGCATTATCTTGATTTCTTTTTATAAATATCTGAATAGTGATATGCACAGTAGAGGCCACAAGTTGATGCCAGTGTCCAAACATATCTTCCCTGTCCATGACAAGAAGAGTACAGAAAGTGAGCATAAGCATTTAGAAGCTTTCATAGCAAATGGACATTGTCATACAATCTGGGTGCATAAGTTCATATTTTACAAAAATGCCAGTTACTGACATATTGAAAAATTTCTTAAAACTGTCCATTCATCAGAGAGAGATTGAGGAGCACCAACCTAGACTGTCCCAGGGCACTTTGCTTTCCCAAAGCAAAATTCTTAAGTCCATATATACTAAGATGATATAACTTTATGCTATTAAGAATTACATTTCAAAAAAGAATTACGCTCAACATACAAAAGTTGAACCTATCACATGTCAGAGCTTAAGCAGAAATGCCTGCCTTAATTTGATATTAACCTGGTAGTAGCATGTATGGAAGGTATTTAATATTAGGTAAGTACATTTAAAAATATATCTCACTCCCATATGTAAACATTAAAACCTGACAGAGATGCTAAAAACTGCAATGAATGAATAAAGAATGACTAATGTTGGTTTATTTGTTGCTCTTTTGTTTTTGGTGGTTCTCTGGAATAATGTAATTTCTTCGGCCTTACAATATTTTTCCTTTTGGTCTTTCTAAAATATATTTATTGTTGAAAGTATTACAGATGTCCCCTTTTTGATCTTTGTAAGCTGGATTTCTATAGTGTTTTTAATGTGTATATGACTTCAAACCCATGGTTAGAGAGTTCAGGGGTTGAACATTTTATTTATTTATTTATTTATTTATTATAAATATATTTTATTGATTTTTTACAGAGAGGGAGGGAGAGGGATACAGAGTTAGAAACATTGATGAGAGAGAAACATCGATCAGCTGCTTCCTGAACACCCGCTACTGGGGATGTGCCCACAACCAAGGTACATGCCCTTGACCGGAATCGAACCTGGTACCCTGCAGTCTGCTGGCAGAAGCTCTATCCACTGAGCCAAACCGGTTAGGGCAGGGAGTTGAACATTTTAATTCCTTAAAATATGTTAAGGTTTATACAAGAGGAAGTGTGAACAAAAAGAAATATTTTTTGTGAAGGGGTCAGGGTTCTTTGTGAATTGGTTGGTTTGGGGAGGATGTCAGGAAAGGAGAAGAGCCCTTCAGACTGACACTTGGATGATCTGCAAAATCCAAAGTGGCATCTCTGGTTAATCGGAGAATCAACACACAGTGAAGCCTGTGCCTCGGTCTGGTTCGCTCCCATGCATAATGTTCCCTTGAGAACTGACTGCATTTGGAACCTATCTGAGACATATGGTGTTGTTAAGAAAAGAGTTAGCAATTTACATCTCAGCATGTAAGCTGCCCTTGCATTTTAGGAGACATACTTTTTATTTATCTTTTATTTTAGCATAAAAAAGCACTTTAAGACACTCTGCTCAGACCCATCATTGAAGAAAGGAGTTGTACTGTTAGAGGATTTTTGCTGTATTTATCCCTTTTCATCCAAAAGAGGCCCATCTATATAGAAGGTGTGAATTATATGGCTATCTAAAAAATTAAGAATGAACAAAGTATATAGAAAGTATTGTTGACTTAAGTTTTAATACAGGTGTCAGGTTTATTTTTAAGGTTTCTTCCTTTTCAGAAAAAGACACTGAAATACTTATTGACTTGATTGATTTGGAACTGTTTGATTTGCATTCCCCATAAAATGTAAAGCTGACTAACCCAACTGACTGCTAAAGACAAAGAGAGTCACTAAAAATCCCCAAATGTCTGGGCATTCTTCCTGAATATGCAGGCTCTGATATCAACCTATCTAATATCATAGCTACACCCAATGGAAACATTGTGAATAGCAAGAACTTAGTTATGAGTTTCTCTCCACTTTTATCTCATGGGAACATGAGAGGCTAAATAATTGTTTGCAGTTATAAAACTCTTAGAGATATAACTTCATGCTTCTGATATTTGCATTCAACCTTAATAGAATGAAATATACAGTATTGATCATAATTGGTATTTGAATTTGCTTATTCATGCAAATTGGAGTTCAGAGTTTAATAAAGGCTAACAGAAGGTATTTAATCTTTGATATTTCAACTTGGTGTTAATAAAACAGGACAGCATGCAAGATGTGTGTATTTTGGAAGACACGGTAGTAAAGTGCCCTCATTGGGTACATTTAGTAAGTCAGACAGATCCGACCTACCTGCAACTAAAATACAATTCAAAAAGTTATTTTAAAAACCCAGGCTTCCACGTTCTCAAGATTTGACATCTTTGAGTTCAGAAGTTTGTGGCTTTATAGAACTCACATTGATGGTTTCAATATAATGCCTAAGGCTGTGTGATTGAGGGACCCACAGTGATACAACAATGACCTGAGGTTCTCAGGCCCTGTATAAGCTGTTGAAAAGATTTCATGTTAAGTCAGTTATCTTCTCATACTAGAGCCTTGCTTTCAACCTTCCTTTAAACAAGTAGAGAACAATGGGGCCAAATTCGCATTATTTACTTCTCCATTCAGGAATGACTTGGGAAAATGTGCACATGTCATTGAGCAAATATATTGCCATTTTGGCTCCTGTCACTTTGACAATGATTCCTCTTAAAGGAGATGCAAAGTTAGTTTTTTCCCCTCCGAAGATTATCTAGTTTCCCAATCCTCTACTGTGTCATTTCTGTGAAAGAACCAGGAAAAAATAACTTCAGCCCAAAATTTTGACATTGCTCTGATTTTCAAATTATAAAAACATCATAGTTAAGGATATTTGCAAGGACATGTGACCTGGACTACATTTATGTTGCTGTCTCCATTTTGATTTGCATTATTCTAGGAACAATTTATTCATTAAACAGATTTCATGATGACATTTAGTTTTCCTTGCTGACAGATTATGTGAGTTGGAAGCAACCTGTGTAGGCGCTTCTTTTGACTTATTTTCTCTTTCTCTGGGATCCTTTTGTTTGTTCATAAAAGATCTAATTTTAACGAGTGCATCATGGATCATTAATGCCTATTAGAGCGTCTCAGAACTAGCTCTGTTCATTTTGATTTATAACGTTATCCCAAGCTTTTGGTTATTTCAATCAATGAAGCTAAATATACCTGCCAAAAATAAAATTATTTGAATTCTTATTATTATATATATATATATATATATATATATATATATATATATATATATGTATATATTTATATATCAGGAAATTAACAAAGATCAGGTGGCTATGTTGCTACTAGCAGATGGGAAGAAGACCCCAAAGATGTGTACTAAGCAGCGTCAATCATTGTAGCCATCCTCAGAAAGAGACCATCCAGCATGTTCTCCTTTCCCTAGAGGGAAACGAAAACATAGTGTTCCATAAATGTTGCATGTCCCACATATCGATCTTGATGTTTTCTGGACAAAATGAAGGACCATTAGTCGCTTGCCTGCCTAACCCCAGACATTTCTTTGTCCTGTAATGAATTGCTCGGCAATGCTGTGCAGCCCCAAAGCGTTCCATTTTCAAACCAAAAGCAAAGGGTAAGTTCCCAGGCACTTCAGGGATCTGTAGGGCATGAACTTGAAAGGCTCACTTTCAAAGAGCCCCCAGAGCAGAGTGATGCACCATGTGGAAAAGGCTTCCACATGTTAGGGCATGTATTGATGAAGAGAACGTGCAGGCTAGTTTGTAGAGAAATAAGTCACGTTTTCCTCTCAAACTAGACTTTTGCCTGTAAGCACATGTTCCTATTAGGGGAGCAGTCTTTCTAGAAGAAAGTGGTATAACTCTCTGTTAGTATAATTTTCTTATCCTTCGGGTAATTACTTCTAATCCCAAATGAACTCCAAGAAGTAGGGAAGAGTGAGAGAAAGATCAACACATTCAGAAATCTTTTCAATTTTAACCAATCCTGTGATCAACAGAAATTTGACAGATAATTAAGTGACACAGGAATCATATTTTTCTAATTAGTATAAAACTGCGTGCCTTCTTGATACTTTGATATAATTTTGCTATTGTGTGTTTATGTAAATAAGAAATGTATATGATTGTGGATATGTAGTACATGTCATGAGCACAAGAGAAGAAAAATATGTAAAATATGATAATTTTTAAGGAAAATGAACAAAGAAAATGTTTGTTAAATTTAAATTGTCCCCCAGAGTAAAATGTCTATAATGTACTTATATAAAATTTATGTTTAGAGACATGGTTCAAAATTCTGAGGATTTGAGCAATAGATATATACATTTTTATCAGTGGAAAATGTTGCAGACCCTCACAACCAGAGTTTTCCTCTGTGGTATCAGTCTGTTAAGTCCACAAATGTAACTATAGCTGAGAGCTGAGTAAGAGGCAGCAAATAGAAAAATATTATTGTACAGGTTAGCAAAAATATTCCTTTATTGTTCTACTGAGAAGCACTGTCTAATGCTGGCTTTTCCATCTTTGTGAAACTAACACATAATTTACATAATAAACTTTGCAAATACTACAGTCCCTAACTGGGCATTAGTTCAGATTTCTCATTAAGAGGACATTTGCAACAATGAGGAGCTACGTTCTCTAAAGCCTCTCCTCTATAATGTTGGTGATGCCTTCTAGATTACTTCTGTGCACCAAACACATAGTTGACTCATGAAGCACTGTTGGA